TTATTTGCACACTTCCAGTGCACCTGGAAGGAGCTGCAGCTGACCTGCACAAAACACAGAAACAGAGATGATCAGAAAACCAGTAACAGAAACCAAAACCTGAATAAAAAGGAACAACTCATAACACACAACTGATCAGTGGACTCAGTCTTTTTGAAGAAACTTTTATTGCTTTATTTTAAATTAAATAAATGAACATCTAAAAACAGTAACACAAGCTATGTTTTTAAACTAATGCCATATTTTGTATTTTGTTTATTTAATGTCATCTCTTAAATAGTCAGAAGGTTTGTGTTGTAATTGTTCAGTCAGACATAAAAACTAAAGTACCGGTAGTTTATTTTAGTTTAGTTTCAACCTGAGAAAAAGATTTGACTCAGTAAAGTGAGATCTCTGACACATTGTGACACCTGTTGGCCAATCCTAACATGCTAATGCGGTTTTCAATTAATACTCCTGTCCTGCAAATGTAACTTTTGTAGGAATACCTCCTGTGCCTGCCTCCTCTGGTGCTTGATGTAAATGTGATGTTTGGCGTCATTGGGGCAAGTCTGAGCTGCTGTTCTTGCAGTGTCTCCAGGCTGCCATGATGTGAAGTCCTGTGGTCTGTGTGGTTTATGTGGCCACCTAGTGGGCTGCTGAGATACTTCCCACATGGAAACTAAACCAGGTGGAAAACACAAGAGCTGTTTCAAACACACACCACCTCAAAGCTGATGATTCATTGTTGAATCACATTGACTTTTAAACACATTTAACCTTTTGATTTGGAGTGAAAGTGAAACGTCAGGATTCAGACGTCAGCTGGAGAGTTTTACTTAGAGATATTGTGGGTTTACTGTAAAATTTGTGACTTCTAGAAAACACAGTCTGCTCTAGTTTGGGCCAAACAACAAAAAGAAAAATGCTGAGGGAAACTGCTCGTCATATTTCATTCTTTTACAACTAAAAACCAGCTCTGTAGTCTAGTAGTATGAGTGCCTTCTCTGAGACTAGGGGATCGGGGTTTAAATCCTGGTTGGGTCATACCAAAGACCTAAAAAAAATGGGACTTAATGCCTCCCTGCTTGGCACTCAGCATTAAGGGGTTGGATTGAGGGGTTAAAACACCAAATGGTTCCTGAGAACAGCTGTGTTGTCTGCAGCTTATTTTAGCTGCTGTTCCTCTTAAGACCTTTAAGGAAACCTTTGATGCTTGGTAAATGGTACATGACCTGTATTTGTATAGCTCCTTCTTAGGGTTCTACAACCCTGCAAGGCGCTTGACAGCATAATCAGTCATTCACCCATTCACACGCTGGTGGAGATGAGCTACAATATAGGCACACTGATGGAAGTGAGACTGCCGTACACAGATGCCATCAGTCCCTATGACCATCACTATCAGGCAAGGCGGGTTAAGTGTCTTGCCCGAGGACACAACAGCAGCATTCTCTGGCACGAGCAGGGATCAAACCTACAACCCTACAATTACTGGACAACCCGCTCTACCTCCTGAGCTACTGCTGCCCGTGGAAAATTAGAAAAACACATTAGCTTGAGTTTTTCTATGCCAACATTCTAACTTTGTATAGCTATAAATATATTGTGGAGAGGCTTTTATTTGTCCTAATGTATATTTTGTTGGCCCTTGCATGGGTCTGTGATGTTTTAAATTACTTTGTACAGCGCTCAGTTCGCCTCCTGGCTGAAGGAAAGCGCTTTATGAATAAAGTTGATGATGATGATGATGATGATGATAATGATGATGAGATTAAAAGTAAATTAATAAAAATCATAAAGTGGTTCTCTCACGTTCGTCTAAAATTATCTGCCAATAACACGACTCAGATAGAAAGCAACTGTTGCACCATTCAGTTGTCAGTCTGGTTGAACTGCCACACTTCCCTGGGTTCTCCACTCATTACACACTCATGTATTTAGCAACAGAATACCACCGGTGTGAGAGGTTCTCATCAGAGAAGGAGAAACCGCCAGCTGTTACCCACTTCAACTTTAGGACAAGCTATCAGAGCCCCCCCCCCCCCCCCCCCAAATAAATAAAACACCATTTGAAGTCATGGACAACAAAAAACGTTTGGACCTAGAAAATGATCACTGGTGTTTGGAGCTAATTTATTTCAACCGGCATTGCGGGTTTCCGGTTCCGACAGAAGCATTTCAGGAAAGATACCTGAGGGGAGGGGTGAGTGTCCCATGACCGTATTTGCGTTTAAAACTTAGCTTGTTCTGTAAATTTACTATAACAGCTTTAAAGACCAAAATTATAAAAGCATTTTATTGACATATTTGTATCTACTAAACAATAAACACTATTTGAAGTCACGGACAACAAAAGATGCTTGGACCTAGAAAACGGCGACTGGTATTCAGAACTATATTACTTCCTTTGCTAATCTGGTTTTCCATTTCTGTTGGACGCGGAACAAGTGGAGACACCTGAAACTGTCTGACAGACTGAAAATGACCTAATAGTTATAGTTTCAAATGAAACACTTGTGTAAAACTTAAAGCTATTATAATAAATCTCCAAACAAGCTAGATTTTGAATGCTATAACATGACCATGGAACACACTTCCAATCAGGTGTATCCACTTGTTCTGCGTCCACCGGAAATGGAAAACCAGATTAGCAGAGGAAGCAAAATAGTGCTAAACACCAGTCACCATTTTCTAGGTCCAAACATCTTTTGTTGTCTGATTTTTGAGGTTTGGCTGAAACACAGCAAACCTTCAGCATACACCAGTTTCCTGTTTTATTTTGGTAAACTGTCTAACATCTAGGATGCTTTCTGATTTGTCACCTGTTTTTAAACTTTGAGTTGAAGTCAAAAGATAGCAAATCTATAATTTTTTAACAAACGATCACTTTTGATCAAGCAGGGATGATTTTATTGACTCTGACTTGCATGATCCCATATGTTAAAACTAGATATATGCTCATGTTTTGAGAGTAAATGTACTAAATATAAAAGCTAAATTATGAATTAGAACATTAGAGAAAACTGTAAAAGACAGATTATATTCTAAACTATAAAATATTAATACATTCATTTAAAAAGTGTTAAAAGTGACTTATTCTGACAACATAGAGCAGATTATTTTAAATTGTGAGTTAAAGATAAAACAGTTTGTATCAAAACAAGCAGTTTATAGGAATCAGGAGTATTCCTGGAAATGACAACCACAGAAAGCTAACAAAGCTTTATTTCTAAGAAGTGGGTCTTGTTTGTGTTGGTGTGTGTTTAAACTTTGAACTGTGTTTGGGTCTTCATGGGCGCTGAGAGGCTGTTGCTCTTTTTGATTGGTGAGCAGAAACTGCTGCTTTTTATACTTTATTGACAGAGTTTGTGCGGTTTTTGTTACTCCTCTCTGCAGGTTGGAGCCGGGTCTTTTAGCTACTTGAGCGAGCCTGACAGGTTGTGGTTTTGTGGTCCGGAAGGGTGGGTGCATTTGTCTTTTTCCTGAAGAAGTCGAAGTATTGAAGTTAGCGGCACAGAGCTAAAGATGAAGGAAACAGACCTGGAGGCCATGGCCTGAAGTTAAAAACAAACATAACATACTTTCTTCATACAAAACAAGGTTTTTCACATGAGGGACTTCCAGTAAAATGACAGATCTATTTGAAGCAATGCTGCCTGGCACCCTTTGAGTCCCGATTACACCGAAAACTGCCAACAAAGTGAAAAAAATGTCTTTTGGTTGATAAAGGTGAATATGTGAATATGTAGGTCTACAAAAATAAAGTTACTTTCTGAACCGTAATATTTTTCAGTTATTAGTCGTTTTCCGGGTGCAAATAATAATATTAAATATTATAAAATGTTCATTATAAATAAACATGGCACCTCCAAATCTGAGACCATGGTTCTCGACCGGAAAAGGGTGGCTTGCCACCTCCGGGTCGGGGGAGAGGTCCTACCTCAAGTGGAGGAGTTTAAGTATCTCGGGGTCTTGTTCACGAGTGAGGGTAGGAGGGATCGGGAGATCGACAGGCGGATTGGTTCGGCGTCTGCAGTGATGCGGACGCTGAGCCGATCTGTCGTGGGGAAGAGGGAGCTGAGCCAGAAAGCCAGGCTCTCGATTTACCGGTCGATCTACGTCCCAATCCTCACCTATGGTCATGAGCTTTGGGTAATGACCGAAAGAACGAGATCGCGGATACAAGCGGCCGAAATGAGTTTCCTCCGTAGGGTGGCCGGGCTCAGCCTTAGAGATAGGGTGAGGAGCTCGGACATTCGGGAGGGACTCGGAGTAGAACCGCTGCTCCTCCGGATCAAAAGGAGCCAGTTGAGGTGGTTTGGGCATCTGGTCAGGATGCCTCCTGGACGCCTCCCCGGGGAGGTGTTTCGGGCATGTCCTGCCAGCAGAAGGCCCCCGGGTCGACCCAGGACACGTTGGAGAGGTTACATCTCCAATCTGGTCCGGGAACGCCTTGGGGTCCTGCCGGAGGAGCTGGTGGACAAGGCCGGGGAGAGGACGACCTGGAGCTCCCTAGTTTGGATGCTTCCCCCGCGACCCGGACCCGGATAAGCGGAGGAAGACGAGAGACGGGGGGGGGGGGGGTTATGGTATGGTCAAAGAAGTTGAAGCAACTGAGTATTTTTGTGATTAAATGGATACAAACTTTATTAAACTTCCTGTTTAGCCTGGCGAAATCCAAGTTTTAATATGCCATGTTTTCTCCCTTTTAGCAGTTTGGGATGAATAGGGCCTCATTAAACAAACAAAGGTTGGTTAAAATGTTCAAAATAGAGAATTAAAAGTATGTTTGCCAAAATAAGGACAACAGGTTTCAGTGTGTGAAGTGCCTTGGCCAAGGACCACTCTTATATATATATATGTTACTTTTAAATTAAGTAACATTTAAAAATATGATGCTTCTAAAAACTGAAAATGAGAATTAAAAAGCAAGCACAGATATTTCATAAAACAGTGCCTCCAGCTCTAAAAGGATGTGTGATGCAGCCATGAAGTGTTCACAATCACACAATAAAGGCGATGTTTCAGTGCAAGTTTATTCATTAGAATATTTACAGAAAGAAAAAGAGACATTGGATGGAACTCTGTGGTGGACTTCTCGTTGTTCATCACGCTCAGAGTCCTTGAATGCCAGCAGGGTTTTTCTACCACACATTAGTTTTACACACAGACATTATTCCTCATTAATGTTGTGGAGAGTTCATTAGTGCTGAGGTCTCGGTGTGCGCTTGAGGTTACCCTGGAATAATCAAAAACAGCCTGACTCACACAGTTACTTAAAGGTGAGTGGAGCTATACAAAGAATAAAACACCAGACTTTTTTATTTTACGTGAGTTTTTCATTGAACTTTATCTCCTGAGAGGAATTTTGAGTGAAATTTTATGAAAGATTAAAAGCTGTTGTGTTTCTTTCTGATCACAAGTAAACCATGAAGCCAGTTTGTCATTTAGACGTAGAAATAAGAGATACAGAACTGGAGGTTCTGGTCTGCAACTGGACCCAAAAACGGAACAATCGTTCTAAACCATTTTCACCTGGTCTCAGTGCAGCTTTTGAGAGGATGCATTGCAGTATGAACATCTGTGTGCATCACATCATGTGCAGGGTGTGATCATCCTGTGTTGCAGCTGCTGGCCAGCCCGCTGTGGTGGAGAACCTCTCGGTATCATTAACCACAAAAACATATTCACATCATAAATTGTGTCGTTGTTCAAAATACAGGAACTATTAGTTTGTCTTTGGTTAAGAGCAGACACAGGTCCTCTGATTGGAAGAAGAAACACATTTTGTTTGTAGAATCGTGAACAGCAGCACTTCCTTTCATTTTCTGAAGAACAGCATCAGTCTTCGAGACAAAGCATTTCATGTTTTCATTTGTAAAGTAAATTGTTGTGATTCAACTTTCCTGATGTTTAAAGGATGGTTCTGAACCGTCGAAATGGTTTTCTGTGGATAAGCTTAAATATTTTATTTGTTCTAGACACCCCGGCTAATAGCATCAGTTTGAAAACATAGAGATACATGACTTGTGCAACTCTGACATGAGATGATCCTGCCTGAAGAGTCTCACACAGCACTAAAAGTGCTAACTCACTAGCTGCATTGACTATTTTTGATTGCAAATAACCACCAAATGATGTGTCAGGGTGATGCTAAACAAATGGGTCACAAAATACTTTTCTTATGAACAGTTCTGATTGTGTTTCTAGCGTTATCCGTTCTTTCATAATCTGTTGTCGAATTGTGAGCTGCAGAAGCTTTTCCGGTTCACACCTCGCTTTTTCACAGCAGCGACCCAAAACGATATCCTAATTCATGGATTTTCTGCTTCCTGATCACGTGACGTGTGACATATGCTGATGAAGATCAGCTATAGAGACGTGATGTTTATTCTCACGGTGCGGGAGCTCGTTCCGACGCCCGCCCCATAAAAAAATACATTTGATGACTTTAGTCGTCAATGGCAGTAAATGAGTTAAGATTGGAGTTTTCAAAATTGCAGAAATCAAGTTTGTTATCTGTTGAGGTCAGATCAGGTCAGGTCAGCCACTGGGCTTTCTGTTTTTTAATTGATCTTTTTTGAAAACAGAATTTATCCAAATAGAAATTCACACCTCATAAGATCATATAATTTCTTACATTTCCACAGAAAGCCACTTCAGCAGTTCTGAACCATCCTACACATACAACAGACAACTCTGCACAATAAGTTGTCCTGAATCAATAAAAATCTAAATAAATGTCTTTACAGTCACCAAAACCTGCAGACAAACATACATGCCATCACCAGGCTGTGACTGCATATAAACCCACTAGAAGACACGTTACTACATGTGAGTTCAAGTGGAAAAGTGTGAAGTACTTGTGTATCACTCACATTTATTTATATTCAGTGTGTTTGTACAAATGTGTTTATCAATTTACAAACACTCCAATTTGAAGTTGTGGAATATTAAAGTACATGTTGCATCAGCATTAAACACTTGCAAAAAATGTCTGTACAAAACTTTAAATATTTGTACACATCAAAATGAACATAATGTACACGGAGCAGGGGCCGTGGCCTCAGCTTTTAAAGGACAGTTCTGGTTTGTTAAAGAACTAAAATGAGGTAATGAGGACAGCAGAAGTAATAACAGCAGAACTGAGCAGGATCCTTTTCAGATTTCTTTGAAAGTCTTGCTCTTTCTTGTGAAATTCTGAGTAGTTCTCAGGGTTTCCCCCAGGAAACTGGTTAATGGAGGTGATGAGCATTACTTTCCTCACAACGCACCCTCTCCAAAAACAAGAAGGAAAGACAGAATTCACTTTTAACACCAAATTAGCAAAATATATAATTTTGTGAAACCTAAATAGTTTATTGGGTGTAAAATACTTACAGTAATGTGGTTTATCAGGATTAACTCAAATCTTACAAGAGAGGAAGGATTTTCACGCCGATATGAACAAAAACTGAGTTCTTTTCTGTAGCTCTTCAGTCTTTAAGGGACAATTCGGATCAGTAAATGACTACAGAGTGAACACATTTCTTTAATCTGTTTAGCAAGCTGTTAACCAAAAGTGTCAAAAAACAGATTTTATTTTACTGCAGTTGAATGTGTGAATCCTCTTTACGTTAGAGCTGGTTTCACAAGCAGTGAGCTGATTTCTACAGCTCGTCTTCAGTTTGAAAGTGAGTACGACCATCGAAAACTGAAACTTTGTAGTTTTAGCTGAATTTATTATGCTTATCCAATGAGAAAACTAAACTGTTTCTATAAGTTCAAATATGTTTTGTTTTTTTAGCTGAAATCTGCATCAGTTTGAATAAAAGTTTGCATTTCATAAAAGAAAATGCTACTTCTTTCATTCATAATTGTGTTTGTGGTGAACATTTCTAGGTGATTTCAGTAGTTCTGATATGACCAGGTTTTACACCTGTAACTTAAATTTGACCTGTTTTCCCCCTAAATCTCAGTTCAAAGTAATTTTTAATGGAGTCTGTCAGCTATTTCATTTGCTGATGGTGAAAATAAAAGTACAATTTAGCTTCAGCATAGCTTCATTTAACCAACATGTCAGAAACAGTCTAACTGCTGTAAGAATGATGCTGAAAATGCTCAGACGTGATAAAGAAGACTTCATCAAAAATAATCTCAGCTCTTAGCTGGAAGGTTAGAAATCCCCTAACCCCAAACCCATCACCACTGGATCTACAGCGCTTTCCTAGTTCAGGTTTTGAGATGAGTTTTGATGTGAGGAGGAACTTATTTTCCTACTTTTGTCTAAAACTCCCAGACATTCTCACAGAGACCTGAGTACCTAAAAGTGTAGCTCTTCTTTTAATTCAAAGGATTTTGTAAAGTTTAGTCAGCTTCTTGCATTGGTGTGTTGAGAATATTTTTTGGGCGTGGCCAAGTAGGGGCACAAATCTGGACAAGGGTGGCACGTGTAAACAGCTCATAACTTCCAATTATTTTTCATTACAAAACATAAATCATAATCTAATTTGCTACTTACTATAACCCCCCCCCCACCACCACCACCCCCCCCCCAAAAGTATTATCACAATGCCAATGGTGCATTTTTATCAGTAATTATCCATGACATTTTCCCCATGGATAAATGCATACATTTATTATAATAAAATTGGGACTTTCTCTGACATTGTAAAGTCAGGATTATTTTAGAAAAGAGAAAGGTGCACTTTGGATTAAGTAGATGTCATTTTAACATTTTAGTGCATTTTAACTTTTTGTTCATTTGTAATAATTTAAATGTTTTTCAACTAACAACATCAATAGGTTAGCTTTAAAACCTAATATCAATGAAAAAAGAGAAAAATATCAATTAGATAACGTCAACAAGAAAAGAAACATCTGGCCTGGTTTGTTGGTTTGGATGCTTAAAATCCTAAAACATAAAAAAATAATAAACTTCTAAATGTCATTTAACATTTGTTATTTTATTGTTTATATGTTTTAGATTGGATGTTTTTATTGATGTATAACGTTTTAGATTTTTTGCTCCCTGATTTTGGGGTGGTATCTGTGGTGGCCAGCTTTTTTGTAGGGGAGGCCTGTGCCCACCCCCCGCCCCCCATAACACACCCCTGGCTTCTTGTCAGCGTTTTGTAAACTCTAGTTAAAAGGGGAGAACATTTTTAAATTTAATTACATTTTATGGTTCATTGTGATGCTTCCTATCTCATCTGAACATCAGTCTAATCCTATAGGTTTGCTTGTTCCAATGAATCTTTTATGAATTTAGAGTGTAAATGCTTACATTTTTATTTCTACAGATATTTGCATTATTTTCTAACAAATTTTTATTTGCGTATTTTAAATTAGATTTCAAAATCAGTTTTTTATGCGGTGTGGTCGTGTTGCTAATGCTAATGGTTAGCTTCTACTAGCAAAGATGTTCTCTGCTGTTTCCTGGACACAAACCAGCAACAGCCTTCCCCGTCTTGAGTCAAGATGGGTGAGTCTGTAAGGCTTTTCAAATAGTTTCACCGTCCATTTTCTATCAGAAGCTAATGCAGGGGATAGGTGTAGGAGACTTTTTTCATGTTCAGCTGCATGAAAAACTCAGAGTGACTGATTATTATCAGAAGACAGATTTTAAAAAATGTTTTTTTCAGTGTTCTAAACTTTAAAAATAGTGTCACATAATGGTTGTTAAATGCAGAAGATTTTAGTGTTTTTAGATGGCAGCAAAAAATGTTGTTCTTTGTTCTAGACTAGCCTTTAACTTTTTAGTAAGCTATCTGTCTGACCTGAGGCTGTTCAGAAAGTTCAGGTAAGAAAGTCATAATTTATAACCTTAAACAGAAACACTTGACTTAACCTATGGCCAAACAAAGAATTGCAGCTGTTGAAATAAAAAGCATCAAACGTGCATCCATACTTCCATTTACTCGCTGAAATGTTAAAAACCAGAATTGTCCTTTAATGCAATCTAATTCTCATCAGAAAAACCTCCTAAAGTGTTAGAGGAAAGTGAAAATGTGAGCTAGTTTTTACATTTAATGTGTTGTCCCAATCCCCGCTCACATCTCTGCATCTCATCAGAGAGCTGTAAGAATAAGTGGATGGCTGCGTGGGGATGTCCCCTACAGGAGAAAACCAAAAACCTAATTTTTGCTGACATAAGGTCTTTGTTTCTGTTTCTGTTTAATAAAGATCAAGTTTGATTCAGAGATTTTGTGTGAAGATAATTAAAAAACTAAATCTGCATAACAAAAGAAGAGTGTGGCCATTGATCAAACCCTGCAGAAACACTGTTGCTGATTGGAGCAGATTTTTTTTTAAATTCAATATCTTCGTAACATGACTTTTAAACTCATGCAGCTCATGTTTTGTGGTTTTTGTTGAATGGTCTGGGCAGTTCTGACATCAAACTGTGATGAACGTCATAACAGGAGGAAGACGAAAGAGCATCCTGGTTGATGATTTAGTCTCTGTGAAGAAAAGCTTCTGGTTTGATGGGAATTTGGACCTTGTCTTCTCTTTTTACATCAGTGTGCAAACGCACAGAAAAACTAGCCACCTGCATGACATGTGTGGTGCATAAACAATTAAAAACTGCAAAAATATATCTTCATATGTTGAATATTTTTTGTCTCATAGATAGACAATACAAATAGTAAAATATACACAGGATATATACACCAATCAGCCACATTGGGAGAAGGACTTCACGTTCAACACGCCCAACAGGTCAGCACACACAATCCTGCTTGGGAGGCCTTTTGATATTGCTGGGAAGGTGTCAGAAATCTCTGCAACAACAACTGGGTTGCATCAGCATCCCTCTTCCTCCTCTGCTGCAGTTTCCTCACCAGATAACCAGGGTGTGATTCATCAGATAAAACTATCTTATTGTTGGAACACATCTGGACAACACCAGATTTCTTGTCTGTGTGTGAACGCCTGCATCACACACTTCAGCTCAGCTTCACATAAGGGATCACGTACTGCTGTTAGCTGGCACTAACCACTACAAGCCCTTCAGCGGTGGTGCGAAGTTCAAGGTTCTGGTCCGGCTTCATCACGTCTTTCCTCCATAAAGACTGAATATTTGTTCTGTGGCTGACTGGTGCATTCGCATACTGACAACAAGTACATTTTATAGGCTATGTTAACTTAAAGTGCTAAGATACTTTTGAACAGACCGCAAGCATAAAGGTATTGTTCTGACTAAAACTTTCTCTCCTCTTAAAAACAACTGAAAAGCGCCCTGCCCTGCAGAGCCTCACCGCATCCGACTCATGTCCAGGTCCATACCATCCAACCTCTCCTTTTATTTCCCAGCAGGTAAAAGTGGAATGCCTTTGTAGTCAGTCAATGATCAACAGCAGACATCCTTCACTGTGTTATGAGATCACAATAAGTGTAATCATTCTGCATTAAAAATCCTTTGCCAACATATGTCTGCATACAACTGACAGACCATTATAATAAACCAGCTTGTAGCAGTCTCCTGTTCCTTCTACTGCTCTGGGTTCTCTGCTAAAGAAACCACCATATGTGGGGCAGAAAAAGCAAGAGTGATCAATTACTGGACTCAAATCTCCCTGATGAAAACTGAAGCTATAGCTTTAAGGCATGCTGAGCCCCAAAACACATTGACCCACACCTTGTGGCTGGCCTAATCAAAGTGTTTTACATTGAAAAGTGAAAAAATCAAAAGATCACACAAAGGAACTCTGAGTGAAACAGCATCAATCAGAGCCAGAGTTCCTACCGGCAGATCCGTCTTCAGAGCAAAGGACACTGGTCAAGAATGTCCCCAATAAACCCAGCTGCTGCGTCACATCCAGATCCATCCTGTTTGTCTACAGACCTGTAGTTACTGATAGTTACCTAACCGACAGGAGGAGAGGGAGAGGGAGCAGATGTGTGTGCGCGCGTGTGTGTGTGTGCATGTGTGCGTGTGTGTGTGTCTGTGTGTGTTTGTGCAAGGTTGGTTGCCATGGCAATCATATCTTGCTGTTCTCCAGGTGGGAGTCAATGTGCTTGATGAGGGCATCGTCAGGATAACCAACGGGGAAAATCAGCTGGCAGAGAGGGCAGCTCCTCATGTCGTTGTCCTCGGTCTCCATCCAGAGCTGCAAAAGTGCACACACGTGCGCGCGCGCACACACACACACACACACACACACACACACACACACACACACACGATTTTGTGTGAAATCACATTTGTCATTTTTGAGCTTAACCATATCAGCTTCAGCTAAGATCAAGCCTCCACATAAGAAGATCTTAGTTTAAAATACATACAGTTAATGGTTATGGATGACGTGTCAGGAATATTAGACCTAATCATGCAAATCAGCTCTGATTCAACAAAAAATGTTGAACAGCAAAGAAACCTGGAAAATATTTGTTTGTTTTGCTAGTAAAATAGATGAGAGAATTTGCTGTCTGTAAACAAGCAACTGAACACAGAGTTGTTCTGGTTCAGGAGCACGTTTGGAGAGGTGATTGTTTAAGAACACAACACATGTATATAAACAAATAAAGACTTTTTTTTTAATAGTTTGTCTTTTCATTTACAGATAAAATAAGTTTATTAGTATTAAACCAGCCTCTCTAATAACCCCGTTGACCCAAACAAGCCATTTCTTCTCTCTTTTTTCTAGTTTTAGTTTCATATCTCAACTCCATCTCTGTACATCATGCACAGTCATGAGACCGGCATAAGAAGAAAAAAAAAGACTATTTCTTAACATGTTGAGTTTTTCTGTTGGAGGAACTATAACTAAAAAACAGACCTCAAGATGACTGCGACATTTGGAGAGAAAAACATAAATCCCTCTTTTATTACAGTTTTTCTCTATTGGTTTGGCTCATTTCTTGAAACAGAAATTACATTCTCAAAATAACATGGACAAACCTCCAACCTCTTGGCAAATGTTCACAACAGAATGGCATTTCTCATTCATTTTATCAAATGGCAAATACCTTAGTACATGTCTCAATTGTCTCAGTGCATCTTTGCTAATGATTGTAGCCTACAGTTATACAGTTAGCCCACATTTAGCCCATTTTCCAAATGAATAGATCTTGTAGCTCTAAACTGATCAGTTGATTCTCAGTCTAATGATCATTCTCTCCAAAACATGTCGGCATGATTGCATTGTATAAGTACTCACATGCACAACTGTCTATTCAATTGTCAGAATTCAAGAACATAAGAACCATGAATACCATATATGAATTTCTTTGAATATTTGATACATTGACAGTCAGTGAAAGTAGACTAACGAATGGGGAGTGTCATACACAAGTGTTTTCCATGATCGTGTGCTGCCATTTCTGAAAATGGTGTGGCCACTCACATCCCCACTCTCGGCCCATACAACACACACAAGCTCCTCATCTTCTTGGATCACCTTTATACTGATTTTATCCCTGAAAATGAGAGAGGTCTCATAGGGCCTCACCTACCCATTTGTGTAATTGTGTGGGACAATGTCAATTTCCACTATAGCCCACTCATTAGGGGCTGGTTTGCAACGAATCCAAGGATGGCCATGGAGTTCCTACCATCTTACTCTCCTTTCCTCAATCCGATAGAGGAGTTTTTCTCTGCCAGGAGGTGGAGAGTGTATGAGCATCATGCTCAGGATCAGCCGTCCCTGCTCCATGCTATGGACGCAGGATCAGCCGTCCCTGCACCATGCTATGGACGCAGAGTGTGACAACATTACAGGAGATCAATGCAGGGGATGGTTGCGGCATGCACGCTGTTTCTTCCCTCGTTGCATCGCAAGAGAAAGTGTCCGCTGTGATGTGGACGAGAATCTGCGGCCAGACGGACAACAGCGTCAGGAGGGTGAAAACAGTGGACAAGTGCGGGAGAATGAGTACAGTGACCACTGAATACGTCCTTGTTTTTTGATTTTGTGTTCATACAATTTAGTGTAATACTGTAATGTACATTTTACTTTTACATATGTAGGAAACTTTCTTTGCGTGTGAATAAAAATTGGTTATAATTTCCTTGGTAGTGTGAGTGCAATCTGTGATGCACTCACACTACTACTTTGGACATTGAAGGCTACTCTTTTCGGTTGTATATTGTTGGTCCTCTGCCATAGTGACAAAATATCTAAACATTTTGTATGGCAGTACTCACACAATGCCAAAGGGACGATGCATTTTGGGGGCACTGACTATTCAGATTAGAAAGAAATGTAGTTTTGACACATGAGTGAACTGTTTTAGGAGAGATATGAGCTGCAGGTAAACCAGGTTGTTGTGATCAACCATCCAGGTTTATTTTGACAAAAGCACCAAGAATTATGAGAATGTCCAATCTGTGTCGAGAAATGAGCCAAAGCTATTGAGAAGGGTCTTTGCCATTTCAGAGACACTGACTGTTTAAATGAGAAAGGGATTTAGATTGAAGCCTGAGTGAACAGTTTTGGAAGAGCTATGAGATTTTGCAGGTGAGCTATAGTGTTGTGCTAAACTGTAAGAGTGTTTTGCCAATCGATCTTAGAGGTTTGAGAATGTAATTTCTGTTTCAAGAAATGAGCCAAACCAATGGAGAAAAACTGTAAACCAGCCAGCATCCGAGTGTGTGTGTCTGTGTGTGTGTGTAATGGTTTGTAATTGTTTTGTTTTTGATGAATATTCATTTATTATTATTACTTCGATGGAAAAAATGTTTCTTGCTTTCATTTACTGTACATGGTTATGGGTGCCTTCTGTCACTTCTCTTTATTTCTTTATCTTGTTTAAGAACACCCTCATGAAAATGCGATGGCACACCTCATGGGGTTACTCCTCTTTAAATAAATGTTAAAAGAAATTTAAAAAATCTGTGTGGCTGGTTACTGCACAGACCCTGAGAATGAGCAGCTGTAATAGTTCATTTTCTTTGACATTAACTCACATTGATTGAAGGCCAGGACTGAGCATGCTCTGCTGACAAGTACCCTGGCTGAGGGTGGCAGCCCAGGTTATTGGACCTCTGGGGGATGGGAAAAGCCGAGCAGGATGCCGGGCCCCTCATGACTCCGCTGGCCCCTCCAGGAGAGAGCACACCCAGCGTCCTCGGTGGGCTGATGGGGTGAGGACAGGTCCACTCCTCCTCATCTTCAGAAGACTGTGGTGGCTGAGGGGCGGGTGTGGAAGGAGGAGGTGGCTCAAAGTGAAGGTGCGCCACCTCTGACAATGGAAAAGGCATCTCTCTTGAGTGGCGTAGGGAGCTCTCCCCCAGGCTCCCATCTCCTCCTACCCCACCCTGAAGAGGAGAAGGAGATCCTCTGTGCTGCAATCCGCTGTGAGGAGAGCCCATGTGTTGGGGCTGCTGCTTCTGGTAGCCTTCGACGTAAGGCCGGGGTTTGGGTAGGGTAGAGACTGGGTCTAAGGAGAAGCGAGGTGGGCACTGGTAAGCTGAAGGGTCAGCCACCTCTGAGTAACTACGACGGCCCTGGAAGCTGGCTCTCAGGTGCTGAGAGGGTGGTCTGTAGGAGTAGGAAGCAGGTCCATCCCCCACGTCCAGTAGGGGCGAGCGGCGGTGCATGTCAGGGGAGAGGCGCTGTAAGACCGGAGAGCGTCGCTGTTGGATCGGGGAGTGATGAGGCTGTGGCAGGACTGGTGAATGGCGTTGAGAGATGGGCGAGTGGCGCTGGGACACTGGCGAGTGACGCTGGTGGTGGATGGGAGAGTGAAGCTGCACTAAAGGGAGACAGAGGGGAAAAATCCAATTCAATACACAAGCACTAAAACAAATGTGTGCAGATATGGTGAGCTCTATTCACCCGTTACATATACTGTAATGCTAACTTGGTCTTATATTAAAGGAAAGGGACAAGGAAGGTTCCTCCTGGGTTGTACAGTAATTGTGTTCTATCTATAAGAAATTTATGTGTATAATCTGGTGTTCTTCAGGTTTTACAATCATTAAAATGTGAGCCCAAGTGAACAAAACATAACAAATACTACCTTGTTATGATTTATTAAACACAACAGAACTGATCATCAGTGGGGCCTCCTCTGAAAGCATCTGAGAGTGTCAGCCAATTAAATGCTGGTCTGGTGCATACAAGGGTGTGTTAACGCAAGAAGGAAGCACAACCACAATCAGAGGTCATCTCCAAACTCTTCCAAATTCATCACTCTGCAGAAAGAACACTTATTCAGAAGTGAAAAAGAAAATATTTCAGGCAGCTTCCAGATTATTCAAGAGAGGATGTCTCAGTAGGTTCGCCCACAGGTCAGAGGTCATTGTACCAGGCGCTAAAGACCTGAGTTTGTATGGGTTCATGACAGGAAAAGTAAAATAAGAAAAAGCAAGCCTGTATTTTGGAAGGGTTGCAAAGGGTGACCTCTTAAAAGTAAGATGGCAGCTTGGCTTAGTGTTTGTAAAGTTTCATCTGAATGATCCACTTGGCATCTGGATCAACGTGGAGATGGTTACCCATAATTTACAGTGTCATGTTAGAATATCAGAACAAACACCTCTTACCAGCTGTCTGGATAGTGGTGGTGGGCTGATGGTTTGGGCTCCTTATAGGCAATGAATCCACCACAAACTCCTCTGAATACAAAAGTATTCTGGAGTTTGATGTGAGACCACCTGTCTGATAGCGAACACTTGGTCTGAACCAGGTTATAAAACAGAACAAAGGATCCAAACACAGCAACTGAGCTGAACAGCTGAAGGATCTAGTCAGATTGCAGACATCATCCTGACTGAAACACTGAGGTGAGGTCGTCAGAGAGCTGAGCAGACACAAATTTCTGCAAACCTCAATGAGCTGAAGCAACAACCTTAAGTAGGAGTGGGTCAGAATCCCTCCAAAATCATGTGAGAGACTCATAAGGTCGGACGGAAGATTTTGTGTCGGAGCTTTCTGGACCGGGGGGTGGTCTGTTTGACATAGGTTTTCCATGTGGGTATTGCTCAACAAATTCTTTTGCCTGTTCATTTGAGATGAGTTTGAATTATTTAACGTTGAAAGTGGTCGGGCTTTCTTTGTACTGTAATTAATGACTCTCATGGTATATTTGTGAGATACCGCCATCGAAGGAAGAAAAATCACCACATGTTTGGTTTTATTGTACATAAAAAAGTTTGTTTGTACTACTAAGTTTATTTTTATGTTTTTCTTCTCAGAGTTTGAAACCTCTTCATCAGATATTGCAAGAAGACAGATAATTCATGAACACTCTACATGTTCCTCTGTCCTTCAAAAGATTTATATATTGCAAGAAGACAGATAATTCATGAACACTTTACATGTTCCTCTGTCCTTCAAATGATTTATCAGTACAAGTACAGTTGTTGTGTTTCCTGTAATTATGAGATATGCTGATGCGTGAGTCAGCCCTGTCCTCCACCCTGCAGCTATACTTCCCATTACAAAGAGGAAACTTCATTCAGGGCAGCCTGGTTGAGGTGCTAAAGGGGAGGGGGTGTTCTCAGTCGAACAGGAGTGTCACTGCTTCCCCCCTAACACTCAGGAAGGCTTCAGTGTCTCCACACAGCTCCCTCTTTTACTGAACATGTACACAAACCAGGAACGACTTTCATTTGTTAACAAAGATGGCCGAAAGGCAAACCAGATTAGGGGGAATCAGCTGTCTGGATTACTGGGACACAAAAATACTGTAAATTCAGGAAAACACAGATACAGTTTGAGGATTTCTGTGTTTTCTACTTTTATTTGAGTCCAATGGGGCATTTATTCACAAAGCAGCTCAGTCTGCGTACAGCAGGGCTTTTGGTTTCTCTGTGGAGTTAAAGACTCTCGCTCGTGAGACGTTGTGTGACTGCGTAGGAAGAAAAAGGTGTTGCTACTGTTTGGCACCTCTAAGTTTTACGCAGCAACCCGTTTCAGGTAGTTTACTTTTAAAGTTGGAACCCCCCCCCCCCAAAAAAAATATATCACAGGCAGCACTTTTTAATAAGTCAGTGAACAGGCGTCACATCTTCCTGAGGACGTTGGTTTATTGCTTTAATATTTTACATTTCAGCTCAGCAGTTATCATTTAAGGAAACTGGATTTTAGGTCAAATATTTTTTTATTTTCAGATTTTAACAACTAATTATTCAAAGACAGTGCTTGTTGGTTTAATCCTAATGAGGCGTTCTAATCTGGAATAGCTACGGGAAATTTCCCACCACAAAAATAAAAATAAGCTGGGTTATCAAGAGCTTGAAATCTTTTTTAATATATTTTTAATGAAATCATGTTTTGAAATATTTTAGGATTTTCAATCCTCAAAAAAATTTATATAAAATATTGCATGTGATTATTTTTCAATGAGGTTGTTATTACCTTGGTGATGTTATGGTGAAAAGGTTGGTGATAATGTTCTAGCCTTGTGTGTTTGTAGTCAGGGGTGGACTGGCCTTTCTGGCATTCTGGCACTGTCCCGGTGGGCTGCTTAGCCGAGTAGGCTGCTTGCCCAGCTTGGACAGACACTACACAGTTGGTGATCTGCAGAACATTAGCTACATGGTAACCTGAAGCTAACAGAGTTTTTCCAGACATTTTCAGCAAGAAAAACGCAATAGAGCGATGACGTAGGAGTTGTTTTACCGCGTTAGCATGTAGCTAATGTCCCGCTGATCTCCGCCCGTAGAGAATGAGCTGATCTGGAAGGCCAGAGCTCTCGGTCGCAGCGGTCTGGCCCTGCTTGTGATTTAACAGTATCAGTCCCTATTAGATCTCACATTTGGCCTAGAGACGAGTCCGCGGGTGGCAACACCCCCCACCCCCACCGTTCTCCCAATGGGGAGGGCCGATGATTCATAAAAATGCCAGGGCCGAATTTTGGTCCCAGTCCACCCCTGTTTGTAGTTTTGCTGTTGGGAAAACATCTCATTAACTCCAAGTCAGATATAAACGAGTCTCTTAGTGACCAACATCTTTAAATTAATAACGTTGGCATTTAACCAAATACACGATGGCCACCACAGCTAATCATCCTCACTGAACACAAAACAAGCTAAAGCTGCGTTCAGCTGAATCTGGTATCACATGGTAACAGCGGAGACTCATTCACAAAACATCCTGAGCTCTATCTGCAATCTTGCATTTGAACAAAAGGACTGTGAAGCCATTATTTTCATCACTATCAATATTTTAAAATACCTCTGAAACAATCAAAATTATTTCAAATTTAACACAGTTGTGTGTTGTAGATCTGTAGAAGCATTTCTAGCTGAATGAACTCATACTCTTTATTATTGGACAGCTTTTTGATGCTTATATAAAAAAACAGCACTGGATCACATCTGAGTAGAAGAACTTCTGAAGTTTCATTCTGAATGCAGGACTTTATCTTGTGTTTGATTATTATTATTATTGCATTTGATGCACCTGCTTTCATTTAGATAAAGAACCACAATGCCTCATTTCCTCATACTGAGATGATCTTGACCCAGATTTCTCTCATTGCTGAGCAGCAACATTTAATCTCTCAGGTGCTTTAAAGGCGAAGCGTCAGTGCTAACCTGGACTCGCCTGCTCCTGCGTGGCTTTCCTCAGGATCTCCGTCTGCTTGGAGCACAGCGCTTGGAGGCGTCCCAGTTCCTCCGTTAACTCTGTGTAAGCCAGAGCCAAGTTCACCCTGAAGGAGGAAAGATGGAGGCAATTATGTAATTATTATAATCATAGTTTTTGCAGAACATTACTGTGCTGGCAGAGTGTTAAGGTGCTAATTATATGAAATTATTTAAACTGTAAATTCAAAGAAATGCAATTGAATTACATTTTTATCTTCTGAATCAGACCTCCTGCTTCGACTTGCGGGGGAAAAAGAAGGGTGTATTTTTAGACTGCATGTAAGAGCACAGAATTCGAGTGCACCCAAACCACACCGTTTTCATGCTGGATGTGTCATGACACTCTCAGGGGCTAGACTTAACTCTATTTCCAGAGCTAAAATAAGAGAATGACATTGTTTTAACCATGGCAACAAGCTGACTTTGTCTCAGTCCATTAAACTGAAACTGATTCAAATCCAACAACAATTGAAATACATCACCAAATGGAGGCAAATGAACTAACTGTGAATGTGTGGGAGCACTATAAGATCTGAATGAATCCAGGCAGAAAAAGAAGTTAGTCACAACTGATGTTAACTATGTTTAAATTTGATAAGAGGTGGTTTATGTGAAAAATGGTGACTGTTTTTATAAACCGCTCAGTCTTTATGTGAAATTGACTCATTCAGACGTAGATAATAATGTTTATCGGACATGAAACCTCCAAATCTTTAAGATCTGTCACAACAATCATTTTACTACTATGACTAATCTCTTTTATTTCAAGAAGACTCTGGTTATCATTAGTTTCATTAACAAGTGAACACGCTGCAACTGCCACGCCTACGCAAGCGCTTCTAGAAAAAACACCGGGTCTCTAGGAGAAGCATCAGCCCGGACAGCCTGAGCATCAGCCCCATGAGAGCCTAAGAGCCAGCCGTGAAAAGAGGATGTTTGCAGCCCAACTCAGATCTGATAAACACTTTGATGACCATGATGAAATGTTTGACCCAACTCATTCTTCCATAAAGATCGTGGTAGATAGAAACACTGCAGCTAGTGCTTCTCTACAATTTGGGGAAATTGTTTTTTTTTCTTTCTTATTTTTGTTTTTAGGAATAAGATGGTTGTACGAAAAAATGGAAAGAAAATACTTCTGTGTGCTTCCTACACAGCAATCAAACTGTCAATAAAAATAAAGCTCTCTGGAACACCCACAAACTCATTCCATAGTGTTTAGTTGCTTCTTCGTATTATGACTTGTATTTATTTATTTATTTAAGTTTCTTAACTATAAAGTTTGTCAGGCTTTAGAAACCAATTGTTTCTCCTGCTTAACGTTTGCCGTCAGTTTCACCTAAAGTAAACTCAGAACTTCCACCAATTAGCCCACCTAGCTTTCCTCTGACCCACAGTGTGTGTGTGTGTGTGTGCGCGTGCGTGTGTGCACTGCGTGTGTGTGTGTGTAGCTAAGGGGACATCACATCCCCGTCAGTCTCCATCTTCTAACAGACCACCCATCCCTCTGTGGTGCTACCTGCAGATGCTCCTTTTCTTGCACACATGAACTCACAAAGACAAAAGATAATCTGTTACTTACTGCTGTGCGTGGCGGAGAGCTTGCAGCACAAGACTGGGACTTTTAAACAAGTCAGATTCAATACATTTACCTTCTTTCCTTTAAACTCTCAAGCTGCTGTTGACTTCTAAAATTCGGCGTGGAACTAATTTATTGACAGCTTTAAGATTGACGCACCTCTTCCTTTTTCACACACATGTTGTCACATATTTGTCTCTTTGACACAAACCCCGGTGGCCCGAGTGCAACACCTCTCAGTGGAGGTGCTACACCTGCAGGAGAGGGATTGTGTTTGATTGCTGCAGAAACTGTAGGTCAAAAAATGCATGCATCTGCTCTCTTGCACAAATTTTCACATGTTCCTTTTTCTTGTACTGTGTACACAGTGTGTGTGGGAGGGGTGTGATTACACGTGTGCACAATTGATGAAAGGCCTGTGCAGGCTGATTGATCAGCCACATCACCATAATGTGTGCATATATATATATATATATATATATATATATATATATATATATATATATATATATATGTATGTATATATATATATATATATATATATATATATACATATATATATGTATATGTATATATATATATATATATATATATATATATATATATACATATATATATGCGTGTGTGCGGATATGGTGTGGAAGCCCAATTTTTCAGGTCACTCACCAGCATTATGAAACCAATATGTTTATGAGACCATTTTTGATGGTCTCATAAACCTTGAGTTTTAATGTCTTGCTATTTTCTATGAAAGTAAAATCTAAATGTTGTTGTTAGATTAATACAGACCTTCTAACTTCTACTACCATAATATTTATTTATTTCAGCAACTTAACCTCTATTTTCGTTTTTATAGCCTAAACTAATATTGGTTTCCTAAACCATGTCGTGTGTGTAGTTTACAACAAAAACGCCCCTAGTGGTAGAAAACCTGCATTACAGGGTTGATACAACACTGCGAAAATCGATACATTTTCGCGCCTCCTGACACAACCAGGCATAAGTCCATCATCCGGCCTTTCTTTGAGTTCCAGCTTCCAGGGAGGAGGAAGGACGGAAAGACCGACAATTCAGAGGTAAGAATCTTTATTTAAAATGTGCTGATGTAGTTGTTATAAAACTGTATTTCTGGCAAAGACCCCAAAACATTAGGAAAAATAATGCTTTACATTGTGTCTGTTTATCAAAGTGTATCTGAACACCGGTCCATTTGGCTAAATTCCTCAGCTACCTGATTCGGACCGTGATCTGGTACAGACAGGATAATTAAAACCGGAGCCTCCGCTCCTCCCTATCACTCGGCTGGAGTTTCCCCGCCGTTGCTAGTTCTGGTGCTAGAAAGGTGACATATTTCAGTCTGGTTTGCTAGTGCTAGCATCCGCGCTACACTCCCGCTTTGCTAGCGCTAGCATCGGCGCTACACTCTCGCTCCACCATGGCTGAAAATTCTCCTTTGCTTCCGTTGTGTTCATGTCGAACGTACCAGCATGGTACCATACAGACAGGGTAATTAAAACCGGAACCTCCGCTCCTCCCTCCCACTCGGCCGGAGTTTCCCCGCCGTTGCTAGTTCTGGAGCTAGAAAGGTAACATATTTCAGTCTGGTTTGCTAGTGCTAGCATCGGCGCTACACTCCCGCTTTGCTAGCGCTAGCATCGGCGCTACACTCCCGCGCCACCATCCTCTCGGCTGAAATTTTTTGCTTCCCTTGTATTCATGTCAAACGTACCAGCATGGGTATTGCCGACCCCCCCCCCCCCCCCCCCCCCCCCCCCCCCCGTTAATAATAGCGTCAGTGGTTATAGCGATCGCGGAACCCCTGCTTCTGTCTTTCACTCGGCTGGAAATTCTCATCTGATTCCTGTTCTGTCAAGTTCGGGTGTAGAAGCGGCCGTGATTAGAACTGCATCCTCCTGCCCGGTCGATCGGAAATTCTCCTTTTTCTGCTTGGCCCTGGTCCCAGAGGTACGTTCATCATGGAGAACGGTTTATTTTGTTTTTCATGAACTAGATGAATGCTTTTAAAGGTGTGGAAAACTGAAAAACAATTTCTAATGATTATTTCTGCTTTGGCCAATGGTTTCTCCCTCTGGTTGCTCTCTGCTCTCTGAGGCGTGCAGCAAACTCATAACTTTATGGTTTTGATCCATCAGAAGTAGAATTATAAACATTTAAAGTTTCCACTAATGCAGCTCTGACACAGAGCTGCATTAGTGTCCATATGTTTCTCTGGATTAAGCTAACAGGACTCCCTCAGCTGCCACAAAAAAAAAAAAAAAAGTTTTCACAAAAATGACTCTAAAAGCCTAAATAATATATAGTCGTGTAAAAAATGTTTAAATTAGTTTATATTATGTCTCTAAACCTGGGAGTATCTAACCTGCAATTCACTCGCAGAGAGTGAGCTGCACAAGTGCGGAGCAAGTGTGCAGTTTTATCACTGTGCACAAGTTTAGGCTCAATCCACCTAAAATAATAAGGGGGTTAGGAATGTTTTAGAAGATCTGAAGCCCTCTTAAAATGGACCTAACAACATAGTGGGCTTCATGTGAAAGTGAGAATGTTGTTGAAAAAATTAAAACTGGGCATAAACATCCCAGCTGCTGCTGCTGCAGCTCATGAGACAGAAAAGAGGATAATTCTGTGAACTGAATAACTAAAATATATATGAAAAAGCTAGCAATCAATGAGAAGAATCACATTTGAAATTTGTATTCCAAATAAGTTCAAGGTAATTCTAATGACATCAGAATAATGTACACTGGTAATATGATGTGTGTGAGAGACAATTTTACTGATCTTTAGGGAATACAACTTAGGTTTGTGATAAATTAGAAAATTTGCTTGTTTTTATTTTACCTAAAATGAGCTGCTAAATATCAGCAGTTTTCTTGCCCTGATCGTGTTTTGTTGTGTTGAAAAGCTAAAAAAACCTTTTGTGATGGAGCAGGGAAACAATTAAAACATGATGGATATGGAATATAGAAGATCAGGGTCAGAAAGCTGGTGTAAAAAATTATTAGTGGTACAAAATGACAGGGCCAATTTTTGGTCACAGTCCACCCCTGGTTGTGGTACAAATGCAGTGTTTCCCCTAGGAATTTTTCCAGCTGTGGTGGAGGTGGTGTTGGCCGGGGGGGGGGGGGCTGACACGTCTCATCTTTCTGTTAATATTGTTTTATTTGATGCACTCCACTTTGAACTGCACCAATCCAGCGACTGCTGCATTGTAATAACTAGTATTAAAGGTGAATACACCAATATTTGCACAAGAATAATTTCTGTTTTAAACTCTCAGTGACACACTTTGCAGGGTGGATTTGGTATTTAATTTTTCTTGGCGTCTGGAAAAACATCTTCTTTTCCCCCCTTTATTTAACTCTCTGCCCCCTTTATTTTGGTCCAAGATCATTACTGGGCTGGCCCTATTAAACACGTTCTACACCCCTGCTTAGTAGACTTAATGAAGTATTTTTAAGCCAGTAT